TTTTTGGGGGGGGGGGGGGGGGGGGGGGGGGGGGGGGGGGTGGGGGGGGGGGGGTGGGGGGGGGGGGGGGGGGGGGGGTTTTTATTTGGGTGGGGGGGGGGGGGTTTTTTTTTTTTTTGGGGGTTTTTTTGTGTGTGTGTGTTTGTTGTTTTTTTTGGGGGTTATTAGTGGAGGGAATGAGAAAGAAGGTAATAATAATATAATGTGATATATAAAATTAATCTTAGGAGGAGGAGGTTTAGTGTGAGTGTTGGGGGGGGTGGGAGGCTAGGGGACGGATGGATAAGTAGAGGTGAATAGAGTATGGATGGTGCCCCCAGGGGCAGCTATGGCTTCAGTAGTAGTTTATCACCCCTGTGTATGAAGTGAAAGAATAATCATGTGGAGCGTCTTTGAGTGTCCGAAGAAGCATTATCATAATTATAAGCAAGGGTGCTAACCACTCAGCCAATTGATGTGATCTTAAAAATACATCCACTCAAAGCACCGACATGTCAGTGAATCAGAGGGTTAGTTTTATTTGTTCAGATCAGGTTAAAATGACGAACCGATTGTGAAACAGAAAATATATAAGAGCAAAAAAACACAAAATACATGATCAAAGCCTTGAACCTTCACACGTTTGGTCCAAACACAAACAAGGAAAGATTGGACTGGTTTGAGTGGAGTTGTCACGATTGAAGCTCGAGAGAAACGTTTTTATTTCACATTTAGGAATCATTTTCAGAACTTGTACATTTTGGTTTAATTTCAGCCCAAAGCTTTGTTTAAATCTTTGTTTAATGAGACGTCAGAAAAACGAACCCCGACGATCACAAACGGTTTTTAAACAAGTCTAAATCCAGAGTCCAGTTTCCACAAAAGGGATTTTATTTAAAGCTAATTATTTATGTCTTTGAGCTGTAGTTCTCCATCACAAGCATTTGAGTTAAGAGTCTAAAGCTAGGATTCTACTGCACTGTTTTTTTTAAAAGCCAGAATTGTGCGAGAAAATGGTAATGAATTGGAAATCATGGGAGTATCGCGTTAATCCACTACAGATGGTGAGAAACTAGTATTATATAAGAAAAGTTTTTTTGTTACATGATAAAATGAAAAAACATTGGAGCAGCTACATTTCTAATAAGTAACATGGTTGCCGTGGTGCGCAATGTTTTTTGTCAAAGCTACATTTGGGGGAATAAAGTTGAAAAACCCGGAAAATCTTACTATTGTTCAAAAGTTTGTAATTCAACTTACAATATTAAACCAAATATATTGATCTTTTTTTAACCTGTAAAGTCCCAGTGAGATTCTAGAAACTCTTTTGAAGGAGAGTCCAGGACCCAGAGAGACAATTGTACAGGGTTATTTAGTGGTGCAGGAAACCGGAGCATCAGGAGGGCACACGTGGGAGGGCTAACCACTCTGCCAACATGTCACAGGTCTATACGATAACACCGGCACAGTGACAAATACTGAGCCTTAGTTTGTTATGAAGCTGATTGTGGCTTTCAGTCTATTGTCAAAATATTCTAGTTTTCTGAGATGTTTTGTTTGGGCTTTTTTTACATCTGTGAACCATTTATCAACAATATAAGAAGCATTCAATTAAGAAGAATTTCCAGTGACGTCTATGTTTAATTCGTGAGCTCCTTGGGCTCTTACTACCGTCCTGTATGTGCACTGCAACACCGACATTTCCCCACTGTGGGACAAATCAAGGTTTTCATATCAGGCCTTTTGTTTTAAGAGAAGTCACTTTGTGTAATGAGTCGGTGTCATTTATTTGTTTCATATTGTAAGTTGTAATTATGGGAGTAAAATAGACTTTTGAACAATATACAAATTCTCTCAATTGTTCCGAGGTCAAATGTTAAAAAAACATTTATGGACATTGGTCATTAGCCGTTTAGCGACAAATGACTTTTTTTTATCGTTGCAATTCTAGTGTTTGAACTTTTCTGATTTGGTGCTATACAAGAATAAATTGAATTAAACTACCTTTTGCAGTTTGCTTTGGACCTTTTTATTCCTGGACTAATATTGTTTGCGTTTCGGTTCATTAAAACCATTTGTGCGTTTGGGGATTTTTAAACAAAAGCAGAAGTCATTCACTCAATTTGAACAAAAATGTAGAGTTTTGGATTGGGGGAATTTCCACCTCTTTCACCTTTCGTTCAGTCCCGTCTCAAATCCGACGATACAAAAACGTCCAGAACCTTTGAGAAACGTCGATGTGAGCGTGTGTCGCTGTTGAATGTAAATAAACTTGAAACATGCGGTGAAAAGTGAGATCAGTTTGAAGAATCCGAGCGTCTTTGGAAGCAGTTTTTTTTCTCCTTTTGGTTCCAGATCACAGTGTTAGTCCTTCCTCCTCACAGACGTCCGCTCACACTCTCATCGTTAAAGCCTCCGTTTGCACCAAGTCTTTTAAATGTTCGGAAATCTTGTTTTCACGTCTGCAGCTTCAGGAAACAAGACGTGATGTGTGGACGAAGCATGGAATGAGTTTGTTTTCTCTGAACACTGACGAGATTCAACCAAAAAGACCAAGAATCCACAAACAGAAAGAACAAGAGATGGTTCCTCTTTCAAGATCAATACTTAAAGCCAAACCTCTTTCTGAGATTAAAGTAACAAGGAATTGGTTCTTCTAATTCTCAAATATTCTGGTGAACCCTGCTCAACAAATAAGACCTGAGCGTTCCTTCAAAAAGTGGAGAGGGCGGTTCTTTCCTGAAATTTGGGAAAAACCTCCTATACCTTTAAAATAATCCGTCTCAATTTTTTTTTTTTATGACATAACGTACTTCTTTCAGCGGAATATGTCAGCACCTGTGGCTTATTATTATACATTTGGTAAATTTGAATTCTCAGTAATCCCGATTAGGTCTGTAATTAAAGATTCATAATAGATTAGCTGGCCAATTCATCGCAGAGTAATTTTTGATTCTGACAGGTCAAGAATGATTTAATATTTAGGATTATTTTATAGTTTTGACCAAAACAAAGCTAGAATTATGCCAAGAGTATTATCACGACATTTTAATAACAAAACAAAGGTAATGTCTGCCACTTCAAATGTATTTACTTTTGAAAATACATATTTTTTGACCCCAAAAAATATGGGGGTCAAAAAAAATACATATTTTTTGACCCCAAGACCGTGTAGTATCTATGTATTTAGTATTTTTCATGATTAATATATTTAAAACAGTCACTTCTCTTGGAATAAGCATCACCAGTAAGATTTACTGAAGGAGAACAGTTCGACCAATGGGGAGAGGCCTCAGCTGTCAGTCAGGAGTATTTAATTCATTGCGTCCAATCAGGAAGCAGTGGGGACCTTAACTTTAATATACATATTTCTTCAAATTCCTAACACTTTTATTTGAGTCATAAAATTTCTTCACAGCATTAACTTGTTATAGCCCTAATCCGAATGTTAGATTTATAAAAGATACAGAAAGAAAGTGTGAATCTCGCAGTGGTCAGAGGAGCCAGGAGGGGGCGCTGTCGTTGCAGGTGTGAGAAACAAACATGAATGACAACAAGTTTTATTTTGTGTGTTAAGTCCTCTCCAAGTAAATCCTCTCGCTCCATTGGTCGATACAAGTCAAATCTACTCAAATCAGAAAAATACATTTGTAATTCACGTCACTTTAACGTGTCTCGATACTGATACAGCAGCGTTTCTAATCGCCATTTTGTTTTTGGGCCTCTTCTGGAAAGATTAATCCAAGTTTTTTTCTTATTCCTGCCTTTGCGTGGCGTTCAAAAGCACCTCTAAAACGTATCACCACCGCTCCGAGACATTTTGGAGATGAAAGTCCGGTCACGTTGAACTGAAATCCTCCTTTGCTTTTTGTCCATAAGCAGCTGAGGCTTGTACACGGAAATTTGCCCGCTTTCCGTGCGCATTTTGGGGTTAGAATAACGCATCTTTCTGCCTTTGTTTTGCGGCTTCCTCTCCGTGTTTGCGCCTTGAATCCTCGCCGCTGCTGCCCATCGACCACACAGTCACCACCATTTTAAGTGCATTCGGTCTTTGCTTTAGATGTTTTCTTTCCTTGTTTTGCGCACGTTTTTGTGTTTAACCACATGATGCCATCTGTGTTTTTGAGCGCTTTCTGTCCGTGTTTGGGCCTTTTATCTCCGCCGCAGCTGGCAGTAGATGGCGTCTTATTTGAGCACTTTCTGTCCGTGTCTTTGCGCTGCTTTGTGTACATATTTGGGCCTTGGATCCTCGCTGCTGCTGGTATTAAACAGCGAGTTGTTTGAGCGTTTTCCGTCCACATTTGGGGGCGCATTTAGTCCGTGTTTTGAGCGCTTTCTGTCCGTGTTGTTTGTGTGTGGGCCGTGGATCACCGCCGCTGCTGGCTGTAGACGGGGAAGGCCAGCGTGACGTTGAGCGAGTCGTTGTGCTGCACCAGGGAGGTGTGCTGATAGTGCAGGACCAGCTCTTTGAGGGAGGAGTAGAGGTTGTACGGCTCCGCGAACCCGAAGCCGCTGCTCGTCTTGTTGATGACGCAGTGTTTCACCTCGCCGTCCACGCTGAGCAGAGAGAGAGAGAGAGAGCGAGAGAGTGAGAGTCTATATTATATGAAGCCTATACATAGGTGAGAGAGTCATTCTAATGCATCTGTGTTCCAGGACTTTAGTGTTTAAGAGGCCCTTTCTGAATGAACAAATGTATATACTAATTCAGAAATTAAATCATAGTTACGTCGAATTCAAAGACTCTTCATGTCACTAAAATACAATTTGGAGGTTATACTGTATGTTGATTTTTTTCCTGACATGGAGATTTGTAGATCCAAACATGTGTCTAAATTAGAAGCAGCCCACGACAGGAGCCTGTAGTAAGTACAAACTATGTATGACCAAAACAAAAACAATTTTGACCAGAGCATCTACAGAGATAAAGAAAATGTAATTGACTTTTGTTTAAAAGTTTTAGATTTTTGTTGTTTTATTTAGTAATTAATAGCTTTCTACATTTGTATTGTGCTTGAAAATGTACATACAATTACAGAATTACACATGTTTTGGAAGAAAAAGTTACTCAATGTAACTATAACGCAAAGTATTTGAGCTTTGAAAAACAACTAATTAATAATAACTAGGGCTAGAGGGAAAACATTTGGTATAAAACCCCTCAATATATCTATCCACCAAACTACATCCAAAACAGACATGATGCAGCTGGAGACATTTTGGAATCTGGTCCTGGTTGAGATGGACTGACCCTTTAAGTATTTCGACCGATTCTGCATCTATTGTATTAAAGAACTTGGGTGAGTTATGAAAGTGACTTATAAACTGAATGGCCCTGGATCCTGAGGCGTTGTGTGGATGTTGTGATGCTGTGACTGCACGAGTGAGAGACGTACACGACGGAGCAGGCGTAGCAGCCCGGTTTGCTGCTCTCTCGCACCAGAAACGTCCCGTCCCTCTTCCCGCGCAGCAGCGACTCGGCCTGAGTGCGGTTTATGTTTCCCAGGCGCCACAGACGCTCGTCGTGATGCGGCAGGTCCTCCTCGTCCTCCACCAGGCTGTACTCACTGAAACAGCAGAGAGACGTGTCAACATTCTCAACGTTATGGGCAAAGAATGAACACGGATCCACTCAAAAACACATGTGACATTCCAAAGAGTCTATAGTTTCACACTGAGCGGTTTGATTCTCTGATCTGTGTTGGCGAATTTGACATTTGATAACTACTGTTGTGATTTAGGATAATACAAGAATACATTGAATTGAATTGACATTGTGGTGGAGGGAAGCTGAAAAATCTTTGTTTGCAACTAAGGTAACTGCAAAAGCCTTACTTTAGCGCTAATATCTAGTGTAAAAACTAGTTTAGGAAAGGTCATCTTGTCTTCATGGTAGAATAAAGTGATTTGGTTCTTTTTTTATCAGACAATAGATCTGGTATAGAAGAACCAAAAAACGTCCACATCTTCCTGATCAACTATGGTCAAATCCTTTTCTCATATTAGGTTCAAAAACACATGTCTGAAAGTACGTTCGACTGGCCAAAATCATGTTTAAGAATAATATGGCACATAGAGAGTACATGAGACTGGTCCAAGACACTCACTCCTCTGTGGTTTCGTTCTTCAGTCCCAGCCACTCGTTCAGTTTCCTCTGTCTGACCCCTTTCTGCGTCAGCCACCTGAAAACAGAGACGCATATTAAAGTCTGAACAAAGTCAATGTTTCAAAAGTCGGTCAAGTCTGTAACATCAGTAAACCCCTGTAGTATCCTCAGTCATGGACAGACAAAATGGACTGGATTGGAGAAACATGAGGTTTGTATGTGAGGAGATGAAAGTCTAAAGAGCGAAGGCTTCTCTGTGAAAGGTAATGTGGTGTTTAGGGCCCTCTAGTGGCAGTAGATGGTAACTACTCATTCTCAACTGAAGGATTTTATCTTCCTTCTTTTTAATGTACTGTGATTATTTATGATCTGAATGCCTTGAGTGATTTTAATGTTTACTTTCTTGTTATATGATCTGATTTTTTATTTTGATATGAGTCTTATCTGGATTGATACATTTATAATAAGGCTTGACCAATCAGATGCGTTCATTTGCAGAGGAAACTCCTGCTCATCTTAACAACCACGTTAGCAACAAGTAAGTTTGCTTCAGCCCCTGCTACAGCATGAATGTCTCCCCTGTCGTCACAAATGCCCATATAACTATTCAAATCTGCTTCTTCTGTATTCAGCAAACACTATGGATGACGTCAGCCCTCGGTCAGCCCACTCCTGATACTTACAGTCTATGCTGCAGCCCCACATTATCCCAACATTTCCTTTAACCATTCCCACATTAACTGGAGTGGTACATACATCAGGTACTGGTCGCGGGTCTTCCTCAGCTGGATCAGGTCTGGTTTGATGCTGTTCATCTTTTTGTCAATTTCTCGGTAATCCGCAGCCTGCTTCTTCAGATCCACCTCTAGATGGCGCTTACTGTCCACGATCTCAGAAATACGAGACTTGAGTTTGTCATAGTTCTCCATTATCCTGGACACATCCAACACAAGAGCACGGGTCATAAACGTGTGTATTCCCAAAACTGCCATTTCTCCATGTGAGACGTTAGCCTGTACCTCTGGATCTCTTTGTCGTTGCCCTCGCGCCTGAACTTCTCGATGTATTCTTTGCTGAATCGCTCCTGCGTCTGACACTGCTCCTCAAAGATCTTTATGGTCTCGTTGAACGCCTCGATGGCCGTGCGCTTCATCTGGATCTCCTGCAAGAAACAGACAAGAAAACACAAGATGAGAGGAAGTCAAGGACCTGGTAAAAAAGAGAGAATTAAAATAGAGTCCCCACATTAAAAGACACACTATTGACAACTCTACTGGCTTCAACCATTATACTTTCATTTCTTCTCAGTCTTCCTGGTTGGCCCTGGTTTTACCTGTGAGGTCCTGGTGTACTCCTCGTAGAGCCGGTCGTATTCACGGTTCTTCTCCTGGTACTGGAGGTGATACTCGTGGAGCTTTTTCCCCACGGCTTCGATGCTGTCCTCCTTCACCACCTGGTCCTGAAACAGCGAGACACTGCGGGTCAGTACGAGAGCACATGGACGCCACGCATCTGATGTCACATGACAACAGATTTATATTTCACTTTAAACAGGCTGCAAACAAGAGGATGGTCAGTTGGTATTTTTTCAGTTCCTGGTTCTTATCTAGGTCTTGTTCATACATTCATTCACACATGATAGGAATGGGTCTGCTACTTCCTTGTCAGATCGGGAACCTTTGGCGACACTAGTTTTACTTCTTACAACACTCCTTACTTCATTTGCACAGCACAAAACATTACGTTTTACCCCAAACTGACGTGTAAATGTTCTGCGGTGCTGATATCAAATCTAGGGCCGCAACAATTCAATGAACAAACCAATTTATAAAACTACACAATTCTGTGCTTGTCTCACAACGAGCTGTTTCCTTGTGGCATTGGACAGCATTGAAAGTAAAGTTTTAGAATAAATTAACATTTTCTTTTAACACTGAATCTGTTTTTCCTCATATAATCTTTTTAATAAGCCTTTGAGGATGTTTTGTGGGGAAAAAAAGATTAATTGAAAACATTAATCCTTACCACCTACACCAAAAAAAAAAAAAGTAATGATGGATAGATAAATGGACAGTCCTAGTCTTTTCAGACATGGGATCAGTATTGTAAACTACTCTGACTGAACAGAAGCTGGAGGAGAATCTGGGACACGTTCTTGACACCGATTCATGTGCAAAAAACAGATACAAGGATAATTTTAAGCCATCGTTGACCTCACATTCACAGACACCGCTCTGAACTCACTCATTTAGAAAACTTATATTAACTATTAGAAGTTTATGTATCATCACAGGTTAAAAGTTAAAAGTAGCAGAGTATGAGCGAATGACTACAGGGCACTTTCTATATTGAGGCCTGGCTTCCCACAAACATTTCCCTTCACTGTACAAATGTATTTTTAGGTCCAGTCTCAGTCGTTCTTTTCATACAATTTATAATAAAAAGCAGCTCTTTTGTTGCTTTTATTCGGTCCCTTTCTGCCCAGCTCAAACATCTGTTGTCCCCAGTGCATTGTGGTCTATAATGACCCGTCCTGTGACTTAGAAACTTCTGGAATGTATTGTTGCTTTTCTTTATACGCTGTGGCTTAAAACCGTGACTTTTGTACTTTGCATGGGTGTTTTATGCCACCAGTAAAAACAGGAAGGACATGTGTTGGTCTGTGTTCTTCCTATTTAAAGCTGGAGAACGTAACTTTGAAACCACAAAGAATTTACTATGTCATAAAAACACATTTAACTAGTTCCTCGCTCTCAAAACAGTTCAAGCACTATTTTTCTCCTACCTTCTCTCTGTTGTATTGCCAACTTGAGGAAATTATGCTCTAACTATTTAACCACGTTCTTGAAAATTACTCTTAACTTGAAACGCATGCAGTTTCTGGTATGGTATGGTTTTTATTTTTACAGTGTGCAATAAACATTAGCCGAGAGGAGAGATGCATTGTACCAGGTTGTAGCAGCAGTGCTAATTTACACCTGTAGTCCCAGTTTATAAATGAAAGGATTAAATTTAGTCTCAAATTTTCATTTATTTTAAAACTGTATTTCTATTCATTTTGTCTCTTGTTTTTTCTGTTTCGTATTGACTGTATGTACACAGGTTTAAAATGACTTGAATAAAAGCACATTAGTGAGGGTGGACTGACCTGCTGGTGCTTGGACACTGGGTAGAGCAGCTTCACGTCCAGTTTGGGATTGTACTGGGCCAGGGACTCGTGTCTGTAGTGGTTTATGAGCTCCACCACAGAGCTGAAGGTCAGAGGGTCCGAGAAGCCGTACTTCCCCTCGCGATGGAAGATCTTGATCAGTTTGTTGTTTCCCCCTTTTCTGTGAACCGGCAAAATGGAAGACCTTAGTGTTTTTGGGTGCGGGTGCCAACGGGAAGAATTAGCTGCTCAAAAAGCGTTAAACGACAACAATATATTCTGGCCCAGTGTTGCATAAGGCAATTTAAAGTTAATGATCAATGTGTGTTTTGCTGAATTTCATGTATGCTTTGTAATAAGTTTATTTGATTTTAATTTGGGTTTGTTTGCTTTTTGTTGTCATGTTCTGTTTGGGATTGTAATTTTATGTTTTGGTTTTGTGCCGTTTTGTGTTCTTGTTGAATGTTGTTATGTTGGTCTGTTTTCTTGTCTTTAATGAAAAAATAAAAAGTTAATGATCAACTTTGAGTCAGGATGGGATGAAACAGTATTCCCAAAAGCTGAATTGAGACATGAGGAATAGATTACAATGTTGACATGTGAAGATATGTAACTGTACAATAGTGTAACAATAGGGATCACATGTACCTATCAATCAGTGGCGGAAAATGGAAATATTAATAAAAAAATTATCACAAAAAGGAATACATTACAAAAGACAATGAGTAGAGACCTGAAACTTAATAGAAAAAAAGTCTAATAAAGGTCTAAGGTCTGTGTTGAGGCTGCTACAGATGCTCCAGTTGTGTGCACATTTACCGGAGTGTGAGAGTGTAGTCTCCGTGCATCTTTGTGGAGGCGTCCCGAACCAGAAACGTGCCGTCGGCCGTGTCTCGGAGCTTCTCGTTCACCTCCTCCCTACAACATAACATTGACATTAGTACAAAAGGGAAATTCTCACATGGGTCCTTGAGGTAAGAAAATAAGACTCAGAAACTTCCCCAAAAATGAGTAGTCATCCAACTCCAATCAAGTCCAGTTTGGACTTGATTGGAGTATTTTGCCCGTTAAGTCAACCCTATCTCACACAGAGCACCACACTTGGGGATTCTGGATCTAAATCAGGGTAAAAATAACTGTCTCTTCACATCTGCGCCATTTCATAATTCTTAAAAAATACAGAATATTGGAAATCACATCGTAAAGCTGGTCAGAAATATCTATTATAGGCTCTAGTTTAGATAGTTATCGTAGTTCTAAAGCAGGAAAAACATTTGGATTAAAATGACAGCATAACAGCAAATCAATACAGACAGCTTTAATACAAAAGTGCTGCTGGAGTTAGATCAATATCGATATTTCAAAAGTTCAAACTATATAATAATCCACTGGTGTCATAGATTATCACTACATTGTTATTACATGAGATAGAGAATCTTAAATGTGCGTTACCTGGAGATGTCTCCCCAGTACCACTCCGCATCCTGCAGAGAGATGCTGTTGTTGAAGCTAGAAGCAGCCGGAGTGGAGGACTTTGCTGGTTTGGGAGGAAGAGCTGCAAAAAAAGAAACATTTAGATGAAAAACTAGTAATAAAAAGGAAAAGAATAAAGGAAAATGTGTTTTCTGTATCGCATTTAGATTCAGACTACTTTATCCCATCAGGGGCAATTCGTTAACACATAAAAACACAGGAAATGTCAGACAATAAGCGATATATGATATGAAGAGAATCCCCCAAACAAACATATGAACTAAATACAAAAGTCCATCCATCCATCCATTTTCTTCCGCTTTATCCGTTGCCGGGTCGCGGGGGCAGCAGTCTAAGCAGAGACGCCCAGACTTCCCTATCCACACACACTTCCTCCAGCTCATCCGGGGGGACCCCAAGGCGTTCCCAGGCCAGCTGAGAGACATAGTCCCTCCAGCGTGTCCTAGGTCTTCCGCGGGGCCTCCTCCCGGTGGGACGTGCCCGGAACACCTCCCCAGGGAGGCGTCCAGGAGGCATCCGGAACAGATGCCCGAGCCACCTCAACTGGTTCCTCTCGACGTGGAGAAGCAGCGGCTCTACTCCGAGCTCCTCCCGTGTGACTGAGCTCCTCACCCTATCTCTAAGGGAGCGCCCAGCCACTCTGCGGAGGAAGCTCATTTCGACCGCTTGTATCCGCGATCTCGTTCTTTCGGTCATTACCCAAAGCTCATGACCATAGGTGAGGGAGGGAACGAAGATTGACCGGTAAATCGAGAGCTTTGCCTTTCGGCTCAGCTCCCTCTTCACCACAACGGTCCGATACAGCGACCGCATAACTGCGCACGCTGCACCGATCCGCCTGTCAATCTCACGCTCCATTCTTCCCTCACTCGTGAACAAGACCCCGAGATACTTGAACTCCTCCACTTGAGGAAGGACCTCTCCACCCACCTGCAGAGGGCAAGGCACCTTTTTCCGGTCGAGCACCATGGCCTCGGATTTGGAGGTGCTGATTCTCATCCCAGCCGCTTCACACTCGGCTGCAAACCGCCCCAGTGCATGCTGCAGGTCCTGGTTCGTTGGAGCCAACAGGACAACATCGTCCGCAAACAGCAGAGATGAAATCCTGTGGTCTCCGAACCGGACCCCCTCCGACCCCTGGCTGCGCCTAGATATTCTGTCCATAAATACAGTGAACAGAACCGGTGACAAAGGGCAGCCCTGTCGGAGGCCAACATTCACCGGGAACAGGTCTGACTTACTGCCGGCAATGCGAACACAGCTCTGGCTCCGGTCATACAGGGATCGGATCGCCCTCAGCAGAGGACCTCCGACCCCGTACTCCCGGAGAACCCCCCAAAGGACACCCCGGGGAACACAGTCGAACGCCTTCTCCAAATCCACAAAGCACATGTGGACAGGTTGGGCGAACTCCCATGAACCCTCGAGTATCCGATGGAGAGTATAGAGCTGGTCCAGTGTTCCGCGACCGGGACGAAAACCACACTGCTCCTCCTGGATCCGAGATTCGACCATCGGCCGTAACCTCCTCTCCAGTACCTTGGAGTAGACCTTACCGGGGAGGCTGAGGAGTGTGATCCCACGATAATTGGAACACACCCTCCGGTCCCCCTTCTTGTAGAGAGGGACCACCACCCCGGTCTGCCACTCCATTGGCACTGCCCCCGATCGCCACGCGATGTTGCAGAGACGTGTCAGCCAAGACAGTCCTACAACATCCAGAGACTTTAGATAGTCAGGGCGGATCTCATCCACACCCGGAGCCTTGCCACCATGGAGGCTACCAACCACCTTGGTGACCTCAGCCAGGGAGATGGATGTACCCGCCCCAACATCCTCAGCCTCTGCCTCTGTAACGGAGGACGTGACGGGGGGATTGAGGAGAACCTCAAAGTATTCCTTCCACCGCCCGACAATATCCCCAGTCGAGGTCAGCAGCTCTCCACACGCACCGTACATGGTGCTGGCAAAGAACTGCTTCCCCCTCCTGAGGCGTCGGATGGTTTGCCAGAATCTCTTCGAGGCCGACCGATAGTCATGCTCCATGGACTCTCCGAACTCCTCCCAGTCCCGGGTTTTTGCCTCTGCAACAGCCCGGGCCGCGGCACGCTTGGCCTGCCGGTACTGAACAGCTGCCTCAGGAGTCCCCCGAACCATCATGGCTCGATAGGACTCCTTCTTCAGCCTGACAGCATCCCTTACTGCCGGTGTCCACCACCGGGTTCGGGGGTTGCCGCCGGGACCAGCACCAGAGACCTTGCGACCACAGCTACGAGCCGCCGCATCGGCGATAGAGGAAGAGAACATGGTCCACTCGGACTCCATGTCCCCCTCCTCCGCCGGGACCTGGGAGAAACTCTCCCGGAGGTGTGAGTTGAAAGTCCGTCTGACAGGGGGCTCAGCGAGACGTTCCCAGCAGACCCTCACTATACGCTTGGGTCTGCCAGGTCTGACCGGCTTCTTCCCCTGCCAGCGGATCCAACTCACGACCAGGTGATGATCGGTTGACAGCTCCGCCCCTCTCTTTACCCGAGTGTCCGAGACACGCGGTCGAATGTCAGATGATACGACAACAAAGTCGATCATCGACCTCCGGCCTAGGGTGTCCTGGTGCCACGTGCACTGGTGGACACCCTTGTGCTCGAACATGGTGTTCATGATGGACAAACCGCGACTGGCACAGAAGTCCAACAACTGAACACCGCTCGGGTTCAAATCAGGGGGGCCGCTCTTCCCGATCACCCCTCTCCAAGTGTCACTGGCGTTTCCCACATGGGCGTTGAAGTCCCCCAGGAGAATAACGGAGTCCCCGGGCGGTGCACCGTCCAGTACCCCTCCCAAGGACTCCAAGAAGGCCGGGTACTCTACACTGCCGTTAGGCCCGTAGGCCGTCACAACAGTGAGAAACTTGTCCCCCACCCGGAGGCGGAGGGACGCGACCCTCTCATTCACCGGGGAGAACTCCAACACGTGGCGGCTGAGATGGGGGGCAATGAGAATGGCCACCCCAGCTCGCCGCCTCTCCCCGCGGGAAACTCCAGAAAAGTGGAGCGTCCAACCCCTCTCAAGGAGTTGGGTTCCAGAGCCCAAGCTGTGTGTGGAGGTGAGGCCGACTATCTCTAGTCGGTATCGCTCAACCTCCCCCACGAGCTCGGGCTCCTTCCCCCCCAGTGAGGTGACGTTCCACGTCCCAAGAGCCAGATGTTGTGTGTGCGGACTGGGTCGCCGAGGTCTCCGCCTTCGACTGCCGCCCAGTCCTCTCAGCACCGCTTCACCCACGGACCCCTCTGCAGGTGGTGGGCCCACAGGAGGGACTGCCCACGTCATCCCTTCGGGCTGAGCCCGGCCGGGCCCCGTGGGCTAAGGCCCGGCCACCAGGCGCTCGCATACGGGCCCCGACCCCAGGCCTGGCTCCAGGGTGGGGCCCCGGCTGCGCCATGCCGGGCGACGTCACTGTTTTCATTTCTGTGCTGTCCATGGTGTCTTCTGGACTGCTCTTTGTCTGACTCGTCACCTGAGACCTGTCTGCCATGGGAGGCCCTACCAGGGGCATGAAGCCCCAGACAGCATAGCTCCCAGGATCATCCGAGTACTCAAACTCCCCCACCACGTTAAGGTGGCAGTCCAGGGGGGGATACAAAAGTCCATATCACCAAAAGCTTCAGAGAGTTCAGCAAGCTAATAGCGGTTGGGAGAAAAGATTTAACCCCAATCTGAAGTTTATTCTGCTCCCTTCTCTGAGTTTTAAAACCTGTCGATGGAAGATACCCCGGTAGCTCAATATATCTCGTTTTCACAACAACAACAAAAGTGCATTGAGATTGTGCTAAAATGCAAATCTTTTTAGTGTAGGTGTTTGAGTATTGTTGCTAACTTGATACAACCTAAAAAATAACCAATTTTTACACAATAAGTTTCTATTAATTTGACTTGTAATCAGCTCGTCTGCAGTCAGTGATGGCTTTGACAATGTTCTCCAGTGTTTCCCAACAATAAAGTCGAGCCTCTGTGTGTGTTTCCTGCACCATTAATTGCCTTGGACCCTGTATCTGGCTTTAACACATCGTCAACTGGCAGCACTGGGAATAAATAATGAGAGGAAAACTGCTTAATGTGAACACAGACACACACGTAATGAACAGGAGTCGACAACAGAACAAACAAGATTTTCAAAACACAGAAAAGAGAAAGAACATGATGTATTATCCACTGGTTCCCCTTGTTCACAATTATATTCACATTTCACAGAGTCAATTGTATTCTGTTTTGTTTTATTTCTGTACTTGTCTTGTGCACACTGGGGACTTTTGCGGATGTATTCCAATGTGGTTTTACTGCAACTAGCAAATAAATGAATCTGTCTTATGTTGGGCCAAAAGCTCAAGCGTAAAGCAGCAGCCAATCAGCTCTCGAAGTATAAATGCAGTTATTTTCACCAATAGATATCGACCTAATGCCAGAGATTGTATATAGATGGATAATGCCAACCCTCTAGCTTTATCGGAGCCCAATAGTGAAGTGCTCATGAACAAAGTTTTGCTACTGTTCGCTCTGCCTCCTATTCACTTATATTGGAAAAAAACTCGACTCAGTAGCTCAGTAATTGTCTGTGTCAAATTCATCACTTTGGCCTAGAAAAAATGTGGTTTAGCCCTCTTCATTTTTTAGCCAATCCTTATGGCTTTTATCTAGATTTAGATATATCCTTCATGCGTGGGGGAAAACTCCAGCTTTCCTTAGCAACCAAGTTAGCAACACGTTAGTTTGCATCTGCCCCAGTTATGGCACAAAGCTAGCGTTATCAGAACAAATGCCCAAAAGGAAGTTGGCTCCAGCTAGCTTATGTTGAGATTGGATTCTTCCTCGTTCTGAATTTACAATGGAGGACGTCAGTGCGGTCAGTCCACTCCTAAAGCACTAAAGTTAAAATAAATGCATATGAAGCTCGGGCTGAAAATCTTTTGATAATCAATTTGTTTTTTAGATCCCAAAAGGTATTATCATCTTATTATTTTATTTTATTACCAACTATCTTCAACAATAGATCCAGTTTGATGTGTG